GGTTTGGATTACCTGCAAGGTAGGGACCTTGCAGAATTTTTTTTTAGTAATTTTTTTGATAATGTGCTTAAAAAGTTTTTTTTTGTTTTTTTTTTGAAAAAAAAATATTTTTTTTTAAAGGTTAACTCATTTTTAATTTTATTCCTTTAAATTAATGTTTATAAAAAGTATCAAGGTGGTTTAGCAGTTTGATTAGAAAGATCTAATCATAAAGATATTGGAACTTTATATTTTATTTTTGGTTTATGATCAGGTATGGTAGGTACTAGATTGTCTTTATTAATTCGTTTAGAATTAGCAAAGCCTGGGTTTTTCTTAGGTAATGGACAGTTATATAATTCTATTATTACTGCTCATGCAATTTTAATAATTTTTTTTATGGTAATGCCTAGAATGATTGGTGGTTTTGGTAATTGAATAGTACCTTTAATGTTAGGTGCTCCTGATATAAGATTCCCTCGTTTAAATAACTTGAGATTCTGATTATTACCTACTTCTATGTTTTTAATTTTGGATGCTTGTTTTGTTGATATAGGTTGTGGTACAAGGTGAACAGTTTATCCTCCATTAAGAACTTTAGGTCATCCTGGTAGAAGTGTTGATTTAGCTATTTTTAGATTACATTGTGCTGGTTTAAGATCTATTTTAGGTGGTATTAATTTTATGTGTACTACTAAAAATTTACGTAGTAGTTCTATTTCTTTAGAGCATATAAGATTATTTGTTTGAACAGTTTTTGTTACTGTATTTTTATTAGTATTATCATTACCTGTTTTAGCTGGTGCTATTACTATGTTATTGACTGATCGTAATTTAAATACTTCATTCTTTGATCCTAGAACTGGTGGTAATCCATTAATTTATCAGCATTTGTTTTGATTCTTTGGTCATCCAGAGGTTTATATTTTAATTTTACCTGCTTTCGGTATTGTTAGACAGTCAACTTTATATTTGACTGGTAAAAAAGAAGTGTTTGGTTCTTTAGGTATGGTTTATGCAATTTTAAGAATTGGTTTAGTTGGTTGTGTTGTTTGAGCTCATCATATGTACACAGTAGGTATAGATTTAGATTCTCGTGCTTATTTTTCAGCAGCAACTATGGTTATTGCTGTTCCTACAGGTGTTAAAGTTTTTAGTTGATTAGCTACTTTATTTGGTATGAAGATGTTATTTCAACCAACTTTATTGTGAGTATTAGGTTTTATTTTTTTATTTACTTTAGGTGGTTTAACAGGTGTTATTTTATCTAATTCTAGATTAGATATTATTTTACATGATACTTACTATGTAGTTAGTCATTTTCATTATGTTTTAAGGTTAGGTGCAGTATTTGGTATTTTTACAGGTGTTAGATTATGATGAAGATTTATTACTGGTTTTGTTTATGATAAAATGATGATGACAGTAGTATTTATTTTAATGTTTATCGGTGTAAATTTAACTTTCTTTCCTTTACATTTTGCAGGTTTACATGGTTTCCCTCGTAAGTATATAGATTATCCAGATATTTATTCAGTTTGAAATGTTATGGCTTCTTATGGTTCTATTATTAGAACATTTGGATTATTTATGTTTATTTATGTTTTATTAGAGTCTTTCTTTAGTTATCGTTTAGTTTTAAGTGATTACTTTACTAATAGAAGACCTGAGATGAGTATGAGTGGTTATGTATTCGGTCATAGTTATCAAGCAGAGATTTATTTTAGAAGAACTTCTTTAAAAGCTTAGTAAAAAATCTTAGTATAATTTTAGTACATTTAATTGCAAATTAAAAAGTAACAGGTTTTTAATAAGATAGGATAAGTAAGTCTATAAGGTTCATACCCTTAAGGTGGTTTTCTCTTATTACAAAGTTTTAGTATAATATAGTATATTTTATTGTCAATAAAAAGGTTAAAACTTTAGATTCTTTAGTATATTTAGTATGTTTGACTTCCAATCAAAGGGATTTAAGGATTAATTAATAATTTTTTTCAAGGATTTAATTTAAATTTTTCTCATAGTTTATTTGCTAGTTATATGGATTGATTTCATAATTTTAATTGTAGTTTATTATTTGGTGTTTTAGTGTTTGTTGTTTTGTTATTTTATTATTTAATTGTTAGAACTTTTTATTTTAAGAGTAAAAAGATTGAGTATCAATTTGGTGAGTTATTATGTAGAGTTTTCCCTACTTTAATTTTATTGATGCAAATGGTTCCTTCTTTAAGTTTATTATATTATTATGGTTTAATAAATTTAGATAGAAATTTAACAGTTAAAGTTACAGGTCATCAGTGATATTGAAGATATGAGTTCAGAGATATTCCTGGTTTAGAGTTTGATTCATATATGAAGTCTTTAGATCAGTTAAATTTAGGTGAGCCTCGTTTATTAGAAGTTGATAATCGTTGTGTAGTACCTTGTGATGTAAATATTCGTTTCTGTATTACTTCTGCTGATGTTATTCATGCTTGAGCTTTATCTACTTTAGCAATTAAGTTAGATGCTATAAGAGGTGTTTTAAGAGTTTTATGTTATAGATTCCCTGTTGTTGGTGTTTTTTATGGACAGTGCTCAGAGATTTGTGGTGCTAATCATAGATTTATGCCTATTGTTTTAGAGGTTACTTTGTTAGAGAATTTTAAGAGATGATGTTTTAGTAATTTAGATTAAGCTTTTTAGTTTATATAAAATTTTTGCTTGTGGTGCAAAAGAATTTAGAGCTTTAAATTTTATTTTTTTAAATATTGGTATTGCATATCATTAAAGGAAAATTTCATAGTTTATGAAAAATAGAAACAAAAGGTAGAAGGTAATTTAGTTTTATTGTTTCATAATAAAAATTAATTACTTTAGAGTTGATATGTCGACTTTTGTGATAACTGTATTATAGATTTATATTAGAAAATTATATAGATAATGTTTTTAATATTGGAAATAGAAAATTTGTAGTGTTTAATATTTAAGTTTTACAACTTTTTCTAAATATAAATTTTATATTTTTTTTATATTTAATAAAATTTTATTAAATAAATAATCTTTGAATAAGTAGGTTTATAAAAATAATAAATTAATAGAATATAATTGAAGAACTTGAAGTCTTGATCAAATGTTTTTTAAAGACTTAGGCTTTTTTATAAAGCTGACTTCTGCCCTATGAAATTTAAATGGCAGTCTTAGCGTGAGGACATTAAGGTAGCAAAATAATTTGTGCTTTTATTGAGTTCCAGTATGAATGGAGTTATTGGTTAGTTCTCTTTATATTTTATTTCTGAATTTAATATCTATTTAAGAAAAAATAGATATATTTATACAAAGATAAGTCTTCGGAAATTCTATTATCAAATATTCTTTAGTTTATTTGATAAATTTTCTAGGGCAGAATATTATATAATTGTATTTTACTATTAATAATGTAAAGAATTACTCCGGAGTTAACAGAAAATCATACCTAATCCAGTTCTTATGGTAAGGTAAGTTTTACATCGATGTTGTATTTAGGTAATCTAAGAAAGGAGAAGATTTAGGTATTTCTAGACTGTTCTTCTAATAAATAACCTAACGTGATATTAGTTTAATTCATTGCGAGATAGAATTGTTTATCTTGATAAATATTTAATATTAAGATATTTAGTACGAAAGGAACATTATAAAAGTTTTAAACTTTTTAAAGAAGAAATTCTTTTATTTTAATTTTGATTATAGTATTATTATTTACTTTAGTTTTATTAGTAGCTTTTTATGCTATTAATTTTTTATTAAGTATTAAGGATCTTAATAAAAATAAGGTAAGTGCTTTTGAGAGTGGATTTATAAGAATTGGTAAAATTCAAAATTCTTTTAGTATTCATTTTTTTATTATGATATTAATATTTGTGATTTTTGATTTGGAGATTGTTATGTTTTTAGGTATTTTAGTTTCTGATATAAGATCTTTTATTAGATTTTTATTAATATTCTTATTTATTTTTGGTGGTTTTTATATAGAGTGATGATATGGTAAATTAATTTGAGTGATTTAATTAATATTTCTATTTTTTTGATTGGTTTTGTTTTTTTATTTGGTGGATTAATGGTTTGATCTTTTCCTTATATAAAATTAACAGTTAGTATTTTAGAATGGGATTTTTTAAGATTAAAATTTAATTTTTATTTTAATAGAATTCTTTTTTCTTTTATTTTATTTTTAGTAACTCTAAGAGTTTTAGTATTTAGTACTTATTATTTAAATGGTGAATTAAATTTTAACTATTATTATTTTGTTTTGTTGATTTTTGTAGGAAGAATGTTTATGTTGAATTTTAGTAATAGTATTTTTACAATGTTATTAAGTTGGGATTTATTAGGTATTTCAAGATTTTTTTTAGTTTTGTTTTACAATAATTGGGATAGATGTAGTGGTGCTATGAATACTGCTTTAACTAATCGTTTAGGTGATTATTTTATGTTTGTATTCTTTAGAGGTTCTATGTTTAGAGGTTATTATTTTTTAACTTTTAGAATGTTTTGTAGTTATATAACTTTAATATTGTTATTTACAGCTTTTACGAAAAGTGCTCAATTTCCTTTTAGTAGTTGATTACCAAAAGCTATAAGAGCTCCAACTCCTGTTAGATCTTTGGTTCATAGAAGGACTTTGGTTACAGCTGGTTTAATTTTATTAATAAATTTTAGTAATTTAGTATTACAAAAAAATGTTATTAGAATTATTTTAATTATTGGTTTATTTACTATGTTTTTTTCTAGAATTACAGCTTTAGTTGAAGAAGATTTAAAAAAAGTAGTAGCTTTAAGAACTTTATCTCAGATAGGTTTTTCAATAGTTACTTTAGGTTTAGGTTTAAGTTTTATTTCTTTTATTCATTTAATTAGACATGCTTTATTTAAAAGATGTTTATTTATACAAGTTGGTTATATTATTCATTGTTCTTTTGGTCAGCAAGATGGACGTAATTATAGAAATAATGGTAATTTACCTAATTTTATTCAAATTCAGTTATTAGTAACTTTATTTTGTTTATGTGGTTTAATTTTTTCTAGAGGTGCAGTAAGTAAAGATTTTATCTTGGAATTATTTTTTTCTAATAATTATATAATTTTTTTTAGTTTAATATTTTTTGTTTCGGTTTTTTTAACTTTTGGTTATAGATATCGTCTTTGAAAAAGATTTTTCTTGAGATTTAATAAAGTTATAAATCATTATAGAAGAAGTGTTTTTATAAATTTTTTAAGATTAGCTTTGGTTATTTTTTCTGTTAGATTTTTATGATGATTAAATTTCAATATGATAAATATCCCTAGTTTATTTTTATATGTAGATTTTTTTGCTCCTTTATTTTTTCTTTTTATAATAATTTTCTTATCTTTTTTAGTAGTTAAATTTATTATGAAAGAGTTAACTTATAAGTTTTTAGTTGATTATTTAGCTAAGAATAGAATTTGAAAAATGAAGAATTTAAAATTTATAGATTTATTTTTACATAATATAATTTCTAAAGGTTTTAGTTTATCTTTAGTTAGAGGTTTATTTAGAGGTAATTATTTAAAAAGATTTAATTATAACAGTGTTGTAATTTTAGTATTTATAATTTTCTTAATAATTTAAATGGGGTTTTATTTTAATTTAAAATATATGTTTTGCATACATAAGATTTAAGCTCTATAGTGTTATGAATTTCTTTAGATAATATATTGGTTGTTTTCTTGACAACCATTTTTAATTTGTATTGATTTTATTTATTTTTTAATAAATATGATCAAATATTGATGTATAAAAATTTATATTTTCTAGAA